GGTGATGACATTTCGCCATACAAACTTCTTCACATCCTTTTCCTTTATGGTCACCAATGGCTCGGCCTCAACCCACTTCGTGAAGTAGTCAGTGGCGGCGATGAAGAACTTGCGATTGCCCGGGGCCGCTGGGAGTGGCCCCACTATGTCCAATCCCCAGAGTGCGAACGGCCAAGGACTGGTAAGGGGGAGCAGTTCTCTTGCTGGCTGATGGATCTGATGAGCGAACTTCTGACATTTTTCACACCGATGAACGTACTTTTGCGCGTCCGCCTGCATGCATGGCCACCAGTAGCCCTGAGAAATCGCTCGGTAGGCTAAAGATCTGCCCCCAGTATGGCTGCTGCAGATGCCTTCATGGATTTCATAGAGGAAGGCCTCCACCTTAGAGGGGTGAACACACTTCAGGTACGGCCCGGCAAAAGACTTCTTATACAAGGCTCCAGAAGGGGAGAGCCAAAATCGCTCTGACTTTAACCAAAGGAAACTCATCGAGCCTTTCACCATTCCAAAGAACAAAAGAATTCACAGTAGTAACGCAATTCATAATAAGTTCCACCCAGTTGGCATTGAGATTAAGAACCAGAAGAGTGTCATGGAGAAACGTCTAAGACACATTATCATATGCCTTTTCAAGATCAATTTTGAAAATCAAACCCCCACTTAGGCCCTTTTTAAAACGTAAAGTATAAATAATCTCTTGAGCAATAATAACATTATCATTTGTGGAATGCCACGGAATAAAGCTACTCTGATTAGGGCTAAAAATTCTATCCAAAAGAGGTCTTAAACGATTCACCAAAACCTTAGTCAGAGTTTTATACAAGACATTACAAAGGCTAATAGGCCTAAACTGTTTAATGGATTCAGGATTTTCAACTTTGGGAATTAAAGTGATAAGGGTTTTATTTAGATCAACAAAGATATTCTTTGAAGAAAAGCAATATCTAATAAAACCACAAACCAACTCACCCACAATGTCCCAATAAGAATGGTAAAAAACATATTGAAACCCATCACACCTGGGGGCTTTAAAAGCCGTAATACCTTTCAAAGCTTTCCAAATCTCCATATTCGAAATAAATTTGTTTAAGCTAACATTATCTTCAGCAAAAAATGGACATGAGATTTGACACCCCACTCTTGATTTGAAACCGTGACATTCGAGGTAAATAAGTTACGAATATAATTTTCTACATGGCTTTTAATCTCAGCAGGGTCAGAAATCCAAGAACCATCCTCACCTTTAAGAGAAATAACTCTCATCTTCCTTCTTTTGGCCAAGGTAGACATATGAAAATAACGAGTGTTTCTCTCACCCTCACAAATTCAGTTAGTTCGAGATTTTTTAAACCAGAGAAGCTCCTCTTGATACAAGACAAGATTATAATCCCTAAAAAGATTAGTCTCAAGAATATGCGGCTTATGAGAAAATTTGCGAGATTGTGATTTTTGAATGCCCTCAATCCTCCCTAAATGCCATCTTTTTTTGCAAAAAATATTACCAAAAACTTCTTTATTCCAGCAAATAGCATTTTTAGAGACATTCGATATGGCACAAATTTGCGAGAATTAGTTTGGCTCTATTCGTAGAAACTCTCTTTTTTCATCGCTAGAAGCGATATCATCCCATTTGCTTTTTGTGATACTCCCTCCCGATCTAGATTCTTTGTCTATCGCTATCCCTATCCACATGATTGCTTTGAATTCAATGCCTGCAATTTTTACCCCACCAAAAAAAAGAATTGAATGGTGTTTGATCACTGTGATTTTGTAACTTTCAAATCTAATCTAAATATGGCAAATTATTAAAATTGCATCTCTGAGTTTTATAAACTTATTCATACAGTGTCATGTCTTAATTTACAAATTAATTAGTAAATTTATTTTTACTCTCCAGGGAGTGGATTGAATTGTGTGTTAGTGTACAAAGTTAGTGTCATGAGTAAAATCGTGTCTTAAGGGTAGGTAGATTGTTAGCAAAAATGAGAAAGAAAGATGAGAGCAAAGGGGTGGAGATGAAAACGAACAATGTCAAGTTTATTGAGATTTGTAGGACTCGAACTTAGTTCGTTTGTTTATTGAGTTTGAAAATCTAATTCGAACTCGACTTGATTTGTTAACTAAGTTTAAGGTCAATTCCAAAGTCAATAATAAATTTATTATTGTTATCGTTTATAAACATTTTACATTATTAATATGTAACTAAAAAATTTGTCATATTATTCAAATCAATAATAAATAAGTTCAACTTATTCAAACTTGAACTTATTTATTTATTTGACAAATCGAGTTGAGCTCGAAAATAATTTGGTTCAATTGCACCTTAGGAAGGGGTATTGACACATTCAAGAAGAGAGAGAGGAGAGCAGCTGATAGGTTCTTTTTTTTAGTGTGTTTTTTTAATACTCACAAATTTTAATTATATTATTAGAACATTCATGCTTTAAATTAATAAATATTTAACACATAACATTGAGTATATTTTTTTATCAATTAGCACAAGTGACTGGGATTGGAGAGACTATTTAGTGCGATACGTTGCAGTGGCAGTCATATCACAGATGAATTGTCATCATCTGATTGTGTGAGAATGCCACAAGTGACAGTAAACAAATTTCTCTCTAAACCAGGCTATTGCTTTAGCATCAAAGAGGTGCCAATAGCATTAGCCAAACAAATCCTTACCCATTATAACGTGAGCCATAGATCAAAGGAAGGCATAGTTAATAAGGCAAATGTTAAAAAGTGCTTCTTATATATTGTTTAATGTTGAAATTAATGTAAATGTGTTTTGAAAGTGATAAAAAAAATTAAAAGGTGTTTTAATATGAGTGAAAAGTGTTATAAAACTAATGAAAAGCATAAGGAAAATAACATCACGGTGGTACGGAAAAAAATTACAAATCAGTGTTAAAATTTATACACTTTAATAATTAAAATGCTATACTTTTTCGTGATTCTATAAATAAAAAAAATTTGACCCCATTGTGATGTTATTTCCACAACAGTATATTAGGTTCTATACTTATTTTGTCTTTTGTCTTTTTTTCTTGTAAGCACTTGTTAGCAAAACCTTTTTAGACTAATGATGATCTTTTGCAAAGTCGGATCTAAAATTATCACTATGGGAGTGCAAAAATAAGTTTAAAAGCGCAAACTTTTGTAATTTTAAATTTTCTAATCTAATATATAATAATTTTAAAATTTTGAAGAGTATGGTCACCTCTACCGTAAATCCATCCTTGATCTTTCGTGTAATTATTAGCATTTTCCTTTATTGAAAACACAAATCCGTTTTCTAAAACAATTCCAGACAGTTCTTAATATTCTTAAATTAGGTTAATAACTAGCTTAACTCTTGAACTATCTGAGTCTGATTTTATCCTTGACAAAAAAAATAAAATTCCACTTGTTCAACCCAAACACAAAATGCCATTATTTTTTACCTAAAAAAAATGTAATTTTTATATTTTCCAATAGTGGGCCCTATTATTATGTTTGCAAGCTGAGAATTGAACCTTAAAACCTGGAAAAAAAACAGAATCTGTTGTTATCTAATTCTCCAAATGCCAAAATTGCATATGTTGGCTCTTCTTTTTTTTTTTTTTTTTGTTCTTCTTCTCCATTAAGTAGTAGTAAACAAAAATCAACCCTTTTTTCTTCTTGACACCAAACAAAAAAAGACACATAAAATATGAAAAAAACTGATCAATAAATAAAAACTAACACAAATGACAAACCTCTTCAAATCCTTAGAAGCAATTTCCAATGTAAAATATTTATGTCACTTGAAACCACCCATCTTGGCATTAAATGAAGATGAGCAGAGCAACGGTGGTGCTACATGTACCAATTAGTGTATCAACTAGTGTACCAATACTAGTTATGATATTATTATCAAAAATGCTAGAGGTCCCAAAAATTTTACCAAAAATTTTACCAAATGTCTCACATGGGTGTGGGACCCACATTGTGTGGGTCCCACACCCATGTGAGACATTTGGTAAAACTTTTGGTAGAATATTTGGGATCTCTTGACCCCACTCATTAATCACATTACAAATACCAAAAACCTCTTAAATTATATCATATCATCAACTAGTATACTAATTAATATATTAATTTGTGCATATAGTATTATTCATAAAGCAATGAGAATGCAGAGAAGCTTGTGTTATTGCTCTTTTGGGTACAAACTTTGCATTGTCCTGTATTTTAGTGGTTCAAAAATTTAAATTTTAAAATTGATTAGTTAACTTACCTTTTCAAGTTTGTAAATTTAAATTTTTAAATGAAATATTTAATTTTTTTTTTTTTTGAAACATGTAAATCAAAGCATAATAAGATTTTTTTTCTAATAATTTAATAAAAGTTAGCCAATAAAAATTTTTTAATCATGATTTAGTTTTAGGATCATGATTTTTTAATCATGATTTAGTTTTTAGGGAAAATTATGCAAATAGTTCTTATATTTTACACGATGTGTCAATTTGGTCTCTGTAGTTTCAATTTACTCGATTTTACCCCTTAATTTAACGGATTGTGTCATTTTAGTCCAATAAATAATGGTTGTTAAGTTAATTTAACGAAAAGTCAAATAATATGTCAATTTGGTCACTGTATTTTTCATAATGTGTCAATTTAGTCTCTATCAAAATCGAGAAACTTGAAATTACAGGGACCAAATTGACACATTATTTGACCTTCCATTAAATTAATTTAACAACCGTAATTTATTAGACTAAAATGACACAATTCGTTAAATTAAGAGGCAAAATCAAGCAAATTAAAATTACAGGAACTAAATTGACACATCGTGTAAAGTACAGGGACTATTTACATAATTTACCCTAATTTTTAAATCAGAATTTTAAAAAAAAATAAAATAATATAAAGATTTTGAACTTCACAAAACTCTTCTCATCAAAATCCTTTTTTTCTTAATATATAGTATAAATACCATGCATATGCACCACCCTAATTTCATAGTTTGGAGGATTCAAAAGGCCAAAGTAAATGGATGCTAGTTCTCTCTTTTTCCTCTGGAAGAAACTCATAATGTTGATTGTAGTCGCTGCTTTTGCTTCATTTGGTAAGTTAACAACAAACTTTATTAATTTTCACGAGTATATGAACCTTATGTCTTCTTCTTTTTTTTTTTTTGAATTGTTTTTCTCTCAAATTTATATTTGAATTTAATCATCATATTCGGGTTTATAAGGCTCATTATGGAGTTTGTTTTGATGATTCGAATTATTTATTTTGTAAAACTCTCTGTATATATCATTTATGAAAAAAATTAAATCGATTTTATAATCATAATCTGCTTATTTTATCATATTTGTCTTAAAAAAAAAAAAATAGATGGTCAATTTTAGAAAACATATTTATCGTCTATTTTTTTGAATACAAATGCGATAAAATGAAAAATATACAATTATTGAATCTCTCTAATTTTTTTAATAAATGATATATATAGGACCTTTCAAAATAAACACTTTAAATTATTAAAATGAGAAGCCTTACAAGCTTGAACATAACAGTTATATTTATATATATTTGAACTTGAGAGATACCAAACCTTTTTTTTTAGTTAGTTTTCCTCTATTAGTTTCTCATAGTTTTAGGATTTGCATACCTTCGTCTAAGCACCACGGAATAGCTCTAGTCACCGCATCCACCTTCGTCAGTTGATCCGAAGTAAACAAATTGTCAAAATAGTTCGGTACAATCCGCCCCAAAAAAAAATGCATGGGATCTTTTTTGTTTTTGGGGATTTCACAATTTTTTTTGGATCTCGGTTATGAATATATATGTGAAATTCACTCATATATATGTGAAACTCACCTCATCATGGTTGAAATTTAAAAAAAATTATAATGGTCTTAAAAACAAAAGAAAAAAAAAAATTCTCAATCATTGTTGGGCCGAAATCTACCCCTCAATACACCAAGTCCCTCAGTAAACAAATTGTCAAACTAGTTCAGTACAATCTGCCGTTGAGAAGCCTTGGCATGGAAAAATTTCGTATTCCGATTGCCCCTTTTAACCAATTAGCATGGGCCCTCTGTGACCACATCACAGATTCTTTTTCAAGTAATTCATCGATCTCACGCTGTAGCACACCAGTAATGTTGTATTTGGTAAATTTAGAAAGGTAAAAAAAAAATATAAGTGAAATGTAAATAAAATATACCTAAATTTCACCTAGTGTCACATCCTTTTTCTCTTTCTTTTTTCAAATCCCTCCACAAATTTTTCAACCAAACACAGCGTAAATCTCTATTTTTACGGCAATGCTAGAGGGCCACAAAAACAGTGACTCAAATGGCTCAAAACTGTCAAAACGACGTCGTTTTGGATGCCAAACAACGCAAAACGACGTCATTTTGGCAGTTTTGAGCCACTTGAGCCAATGATTTTGTGGCCCTCAAACATTTTCCCTATTTTTATGATCATTTTTCACTGATGATGACATAATTAGAGGTGTAAAGTCAACCTACCTTTACGATGTGTTTGGTTGGAAGATTTGAGAAGGGATTTGGAAAGGGAAAATATGTGTAAAATTAGGTAAAACATAGGTATGTTTTATTCACATTTCACCTACGTTTTCTATTTTTCTTTCCAAATCTCTCCTCAAACAAATCATAGTGGAGAAAAAGACAAATTAAAACTCTTCTAGAGCTCTTAGGTTTGGTTTGGGAAGTGGGTTGATTTTTTGATTTTTTTGGTTATTTTAGCGTGGGCTAAAAAACTTGGTTTGGGAAGGAATTTTTGACTTTTTGACCTTTTTGACTTTTTTTGTGAGAGAATAGTGTAATGATTATGGGTTGAATGTGATTTTTATTTTTTGTGATTAAAATAGCCTATTTTATTTTTTGTGACTAAAATAGCCAAAAAAGCCTCAACCAAGGCTTCCCAAACGAAGGTTTAAAGCCTTAATTTAGAGGTTTAAAACATTTTTCTTTTTGGAAATATCTCAAATAAGTGGGATAGTGGCTTTTTTTTTCTTTTTCTTTTTTTCATGAGGGGCAAGTCTTTTTCTGTGCATGATACAAGTGTGTTTTTTATATGTTAAACTTAGGGACAATTACTGTCCAGTGAAGAGTAGAGAAAAAAAAATTATAAACACATTAGGGTGCAATTGATTTATAGTGGAATGCAAGTGAAAATTTGTGGGGGTACAAACCCCTCCATGTTTCTGTAATTTTTTTTTGCTCTGCCCCATTGGGAAGTAATTCCCCCTTAAACTTATACTAAAAACAGTAATATCATAAATCCAAACTTAACTACCTAAAAATTACTCAAAATTGTTATTTTGTAGTTCAAATTTTTTCTATATATAAACTCTACACTGTACAAATTCAATCTCAAACACACAACACTCATTCAGGATAAATTCCGTACACTTTAAGTGGAATTCATAATATTTTTCTATTAAAAATATTCCATCTGTAATGTAATTATTATTTCCATATCCCACTGAAATATAATTACCCCTTGTTTCTTGCTTGTGTTTTGTAGTGTTTGGCATTGCAGTTGAAGCAGATATTGTTTGTCAAGGAAAGTGTGAAGACATTCCTGATTGTGATGGCTTCTGCAAGAGAGTTGGTTTTAACTCTGGGCATTGTTTTCCACCACTTTATCAGTATTGTTGCTGCCAAAGTGGATAAAATAATAGCCTTTTTCTCTAAGCTGTATCCAAGTAAAAATGTGGCATATCATATGCTATAATATTAATAATAAATTCAGAGAGTGGCAATCAAAATAAAAATAAATGAAATCTTCTCTATTAATTGCCTCATTGTCTAAATAGCTTTTGTGTCTTTTGGTGATATTTGAAATTTTTATTCATGGCGTTTTGGTTTCACCTATAGAATTAAGATTTTAGAAATAAAAATTTAAATATAAAATTATTTTTAGGAAGAAAATATATTAATTGTTAAAAGTGTCATTGTATTTTTAATCACGAAAGTGTCTGAGAGGGTAATTTATGTGAAAATTGGGCCGAGCTGGGTAATGGGCCGTTATGAGCCACAGTACAAAGGGCCGAGTAAAAGGGCCACGTAAGTCACTCCGGTCGTATGGATATTTGGAAGTTAGTCCGGTCCTAAAGCCGTGAATCTAGTCCGGTCCAACTGAAGATCGAAGTTAGATCGGTCTAACGTTACTGCGAAGTTAGACTGGTCATGGAGTTACACCGGTCATGACTTGTTAGTTCGGTCTAACCACGCCATGGTTTTACATGAGAGAACCGAGATAAGGTGTAGTGAAAGGAAGAACCGAACGAAGGATAGTTCGGCTTATTTTACGGCTATGCATAGTCATGTTTACTTCGGTCGTATTGGAGTTTGGCCATGATAAAACCATCTCACTTGGTTTAAACAGTGAGGGGGGTGTTAAAGGATTAGCATTACCTTTCAGGAGTATGAATCCTAGGAGGACTCTGCATGGAGGAGTAGAAGTCCTACTAGGATTGTGCCACACGAAACCTATAAAAGCTCACAAACATCACCTTTGGAGAGGTAATACACAACTTTGCTTTCTGAATACACAGAGCTTTTGTCTATTTGTCAAGCTTGCTGACTTAGGCATCGGAGAGGTTTCCGGCACACACCCGCCGGCTAGCTCACGTTTGTGTTTTCAGGTAATAAAGCGACGACATACAGAGGAGCGCAGACTTGATCAACAGGATTATACGAGAAGTTTATTTCTTTCCCGTACAATTGGCGCCGTCTGTGGGAAAATCAGACAGGACAAAACCTCTTGATCAAGCTTTACCTCTTTAGGAACAATGGCACACATTGAAGAATTACCGCAGTCCGCCATCGACGGGCAAACACCAGATGGGGGAGCAAGGCGTGAAGGACTACTTTCTATCCCTCCCATGGCAGATTTGGAGCCCCAACGACATAACACCAGGAGGGATACTAGGCGGAGGCGGACTAACAGCCCCCGTCACTCTCGTTCGCAAAGTCCTGACAGGCAAAGGCGGAGAATTGATCCTTAAGCTCTGGAAGACCGCGTGAAGGAGCAAGATCAATTAATAAGGAAGATGGCGGCGGACATGGAGGCCTTGAAGCGCCAGATGAAGAGAAAAGAAGTGGCGACAGGAGAGGGGCGCAAAAACAAGACGCCCCATCGCCACTCAGAAAATCGTAGTAGGAATACCACACCCTCGCAAGGAGAGAGCAGAAGTCTCAGGACAGGCGACACTCAATCCTGGTCTTCCAGAACTCGTCACTCTAGGGCTGAGAGAACAAGATCTGAAAGATCATACACTGAAGGAAGCACGTATTGGCCCTCACATACGCACCAAACCAGATCTAAACAGACGGAGTTACCCAAATCATCCGACTTACGAACCGTGCTCGAAGAAAAAGCACGATGCAAGGAGGATGCCAGGGCACGGGATCCACACAGAGTTTCTGCCTTACAGCGGTTGGCTCCTCGGACGCATGGAAGCGTCGAGGTTGGAATGCCAATACCGCGCCCTGCCTACGAACCAACGGACAAAGCATTAGCAAGGCTGCAGACCTCGCCA